TCCTTCTCTTTCTCGTCTCTCCCATTTTCCTCGTTGTTTTGTGTATGTTGTTGGTTTTTGGGTACGATATGTATTGTCATGGGGGGGGGAGTTTCTGCGGAAGGATAGTCCGAATAGGCCCATGGCCGTATTTTCAGAGAGTTCTCATAGTTGCCAGGTTTTACTCGGCGTGTTCTTTGGGGTAATAGCGAGGAGACCTGGGTAATGGGGATGGTTGGAGTGATCCATAATCACCATCAGCTGCCGGTGCGGACGAGCTTGGCAGGTCGTTCGCGCATGGTCACTTTCGGCCCACAAAGCTACTCGCCCCCCCACCGTCCGCGCAAGCAGCCCTCCCGTTTTCCCTGACGTCCTTTGAGACGCACTCTATAGAGATACTTTCGCAACGCGCCACGTGGAAGTTCCGTTCTCCGGTTGAACTCGGAATTGGTGTGATCCTAAACTACTGTGCAAGTCAAGTTACTTCGCAGGCTAATGGGACCTCGACTCAAAGGCTCTGAGGTCAAACATCTCCTCCAGTGCCTCATTTCGGTTTGAAGACCGGGGTCGAAGCCGAATTAGTCCTCCGACCAGCTGGCCTGATAGGCGGTTGGAAGACGCAAGCCCGCCTACCACGCCCCACTGCTCGACGCGAGCCCGAAGTGCGGTCTGAGATGCGCCAAGCGGGCCTCTACGGGGACGTGCTCCTTGCGGAGGAGAGAGAAAACTGGCCTTTTCCCCGACAACCTTCGGCAATAGATTGGGTATTTCCCACTGATAATGGACACGTCCCGGGTGTGGTCCTAAAGGCACGCCGCGGTCGAGTTGGGTGTCGTCCTACTTGTCTGGTACTCGGCTCCAACATGCTCTCGGTTTGTGTTGCTTCATTGGGAGGGTCCGAGGACTAAACGGGCGAGGCAGACGCGGTAACCAACCCCTACGTGGGTCGTCCTGTTCGAACCGGCTGCGGGGGTCTACCGGACAGTTTTCTGGAGGTATTGAACCCCTCCTTATTGACGCCTGTGGGCGAGACTAGTATAAAACTCGCTATGGTACGGACGGATTTTGTAGACCCAGTCTTCTCACGGATCAGAGCTCCGTCTTCCCATCAAATCCGTCACCGACCCCTGTTTCGAGGTGTGGGAATCTTTTTGCTGAGTTGCTACCGAGTCTTATCCACCAGATGGCAGACTCACCTCCCTCTGGTATGTTTTTTAGGTGGCGTTACAACCTGGTCCCGCTACCTTACCTTCTCCCGTTCTACCGCTCGGCCCCCGGACTACACTATCGAAACCGGACGCCGTGTCCTGCTTTGTCGAGCTCTGTATGAGGAACCCACAGGCTGTATGACCCGGTGGCCTTCGTACAACTTCATCCCGGTCGCAGCGTACTTTTGGACCGCTACGTCCGGATGAGAAGCTGCGCCAACGGGTGACCTCGTGACTTGCCTAGATCGTAGCCTCCTTGCTAGGTCGCAGAACCACCGGCGTTAGGTCTCGTTTGACTATCAGGGGAGACCAGCGAGGACCTTGTGGGAAAGTTAGAGGGTAGATCCGTGTGGCTAGGACGTTTTTCCTCTCTCTTCTCGTCTTTTATTCTTCCTGTTTGTCCCTTTTGGTTGGTTGTTGCGTTTCTTTTGGGTACGATTCGTATTGTTGTTGCTAGAATCATCACAATCTTTCTGACCCAAACGTTGGTTAAATTTTATATTCCCATACCAGACACACACCATCCGTCATCGTCCCGCCTGACCGGTAAACCCTATGGCCTCAAAGAGCCACCGGCCACGACAACCACCCGGCAATCCGGGTTTACTGCTTTTTCCAATTTATGAAAAAAAAATAATTTAGGATGGTCGGGTTTAAACATCACAGGTCGGGTCCGGGTCGGTTCGGGGTCGGGTGCGGTCGGTTCGGGTTCGGGATCGGGATGGCAAAATATCCGATGGAAACAAGATAGTAGCAAGTTAAAGTGTGTAGTCCGAATGTGACAGTGACACGTCCCTTGGCTAGTCCTCACCCTCGACTCTCTGGATCGATTGTCCAAATAAAAACCAGCGTCAGTGAACGGAGGTGAACGAAGTTTATTTGACAACTTCTTTTTCATTTAGCAAATGTAAGACAAAATATACCAACTTCTTCTTCTTCTTCTTCTTCCTCTTCTTCCTCAACCGTAACCCTCCCTACTTCTGGGAGAAATATACCAGTGTGTACGTCTCGTGTAGTCGTTCACTTTACCAAGAGACGAAAATTGGGCGGTGGATCGATGGTCCCAGATCATGATCCCTCGCTCACCCGTGATAACATGTCGCGGGCCCCTCGTGTACCTCACTCCCCCTTCCCTACATGACGGAACGAAGTTCCGTGGTACCGTCACGTCCTCCACTTGACCTGGAGAGGTTCATATTCAGGGTGTGAGGTCTCATTCCAGACCACCCCTAACTTTTGGCGCTTAGGGATGCGAGTGCAGGTTCCGGATGACTGAGGTATCTAAGATAAGGGATTAAAACGAGGTACGTTGTCCTGGTGTGTGACAGGGGGCGTGGCTGGTATTCTCCTGGCTGCAGATGAGGCACACCTGTTCCCACTTCCCTAATCAACCCTCTCTTTAAGAGCCTGGCCCTCACCTCACTACTCTGCCAGAGTATTATATGCTGTTCGTCGATCCAGAGTGCCTCTCTGCAGCCCAAGCCGAGTTGTTGTTTCTTTTTGCAGTTTTTGTGCAACTTTTTGAGTTTTTGGCCAGGAAGGTTTTCCTTCTGTTTGTTTTTGGACCTTTCTGCTACCAGCCAGCTCCCTGTCGACAGTACCTGCCTTGGCCTAGTATTATTAATTAAACACCTTGAAACTTTTCTTGTGTCTGTCTCTGCTTTGGTGTCCTAGAATCCAAACGCCGCAGTTGTAGCCACAATTAGGGACACAATGGTCCAAAAGGGTAAACCTCAAATTATTATAAAGAGAGACACAAAACATTTTGTGGAGCAGAGTTTTGTACATGATCTGTTTGGTTTTGATTGGGGAAAAATCGATCTGTTTGATGATGTTGAAACTGCATGGTGTTATTTTTATCTTGGTTTTATGGAAATTGTTGATAGACATGCACCCGTGCGTACATTTAGAGTGAAGGGACGAGACAATCCTTGGTTTTCTGCTGAATTGTCTCCTACATGAGAGAAACAAGGCCTGGGCAAAGGCTAGGCAATCAGGCTCAGAGGTAGAATGGCTGCGATTTAGGCAGCTAAGAAATAGCTTCACATCTCAAATCAAAAGTGCTAAGTGGAAGTATTATCTGTCAGTTACCACAAAAAACCTGAATAATCCTAGACAAATTTGGAAAACCATTAAATGGAGATCCACCGGTGAGATCCGTAATGATCTACCTCCTTGCCTTACCACAGCATCTGGCACTATATCGGACAGGGCCACCATGTTAAATTGTTTTAATGAGCATTTTGTGTCCTGTGGCTCTCTGTTTGATTCTGTTTCTAATTCTGCTTCTGTGAACACCACAGTCTGTGACTCTGAACAATGTGGTTTGGAAAACCCCTTCAGTTTTTCTCCTTTTACTATTGATGTTGTTCATGAAGCCTTAACCA